GGGATGCGCATGACGCAGGGACGGAGGCCGGCGATGTTTGGGCAACGCGGGCGTGGCGGCGGACCAGCATTGTGGGAGGGTGCGGCGCACCCGCCACCGCCACAAGAGCGGTCGTGGCAGGCGCAAGCTGGGCTAGACTTAAGCTGAGCGTTGTCGCTGGTTCTATATCTATTTCCTATGGGTGTGTATTATGATAATCTGTGTAATTGTGATCAGACACGCGGCATTGCATGAGTTTGAACCCACTAGCGATGGAAAAGGCATCAATGTGGTCGACCCCGGGTCCGCGGGTTGCATCCTTACACAGGCCTCTGGTCATGAGTTAAGTAGTATTGTCACGTTCATCGCGTTGACTCAGGAAGCGGCGGTGCACATGAGGATGACTGGGCTACGAGTTGCGCAATCTGTGCAGGGCGTGGAAAGCAATATACGAGTGGCTAATTCAGATTCTAATTGAATCCTTGATTGACTAGCCTTCCAAGGTCCTGTATATATGCGCTCAATGACCGACTTCAATACAGTGGGCCCTAGAAGGTCTTAATGAAACAGCTGACATCGAGGGGTCTTGTGCCACGGGAGCTCGCGTGAAGACACAGCATCGACCTCTGCTGGCTAGAACCCCATTGACTCGACGGTCGCGATCGGCCAGGCCAAAGCGTGGGCACCCGAGCCTCGAATCTGCATCAGCGATCCTGTGGCTATATCTGCGTGCTGTCAGTCAGCCAGCTCGGTACAGGCAAGGACGAGGCAAGGACACGAATGTACCGCGGAACTGCGTACTAGATATAGACCGCAAGATTATCGATCTGGCCAGCACTTCATCGACAGCCGCGGCGAGAGCTTCGCAGGCAAGCGGATTCCCTTAGGCCACCAGGCTTAGGAAGATGACTGGACGGATTAACGCCTCCCCAGACGCACAAAGGCGCCCCTGGAGGCTTCCCCACACGAAGAAGCAGAAGCAAGCACCAGACGAGTGTCGACGCAATGTGGCACAGAAGCGCTACGGTGCGGTCACGAGAGCACCTTCGGCCACGAGAAACAACAGGCCCAGGCCCCAGGGCGGAGCTGGGGATGTGGGTGGCTGTGGTGAGTGCCAGGTTGTCAAAGAGCAGCTGACCGTAGGGCCCTCGAATGCGAGGGAGTCGGAGGGAGGAATTGGGAAGGCCGAGTCCCGCACGGCATCCCTGCGGAAAGGCTGGGTTAGATGCGTGGCAGGACTGTCTTTGTCAGAGGCAATATGCAGAACCAGCGCAAGACGTAGTTCGTCAGTGACAGTATCTGGTATACTTCGGCTTTGCACCGGAGGGCCAGTGAAGTACGATGCTTCAGCAGTTTCGCTCACCTTCCGTCGCTAGAGCGATACTCCACCGAAGAAAGTTGTGTGACGTATCTGTGAGTGAAAGCGCCAGGGCCGTTGCTCATCGACTACTCACTTGCAAGGCACGATGCCCCGGTCCGAGCTTCGGTGTGGAAACTAATCAACACAATCTGTATGTGCTGTGGAGTTCGACAATCATCCTAGACACGAAATGAAGACAGCCGGTCGAGAGCCTATGAGTGTCTGGATGCCGATAAATGAAGTGTCGACTATGACTCAATAATGAGCGTGGTCTTAGGCAGTGCTAAGGCTTTCTTCGTTCAGTGAACGTCGCAGCAGGGTATTTGCCATGGTTGACTCACAGTGTAGCGACGATAGCAACAGTGCGCATGCCGATGAGATGTGCTCCTCGGCCGTATGGACCTTCTCCACCGTACGCCGCTCAGTAGATGGCAAGACTCTCCCAGCTATGGCCTGTGCAGCACGCTGTGCGCAACCCCCGTTTGTGCTTTCTCGTCTTCGAGACAGTGCAATGCGTCGACCTCGTGTTGATCCAGAATGTCGACAATGCCAGCTAGTGAATGCAGCCCTGGGCAGCCAGCCCGTCGAGTCCGGGATATGTGCAGCGTGCCCAGGTCTCGAGGCCTGTGGGGGACGGATGAGGCAGGTGTGAGAGGCAAGTCTGGCGAGCGCAGAAGCGCACGCACTTGCCTGGTAGGGGATGAGGTGATGCGGCTGCTGCTCTCCGTCGTGTTATCCTCACATCGCACGCTGGTGGTGCTCTGATAATCAGACCGCAGGGGTGTGAGATGCCCGACGTATGGGTGTGATTACTCCGGAGAGCTCCAGAGAAGGCGAGGTTGAGCGCAGCTCTGCCGACGTCTCGGCTTGCGACGTGGGGAAGCGAGAGCTGCTAATAGCAAGGTTGAGATTGGAGGAGCGCGGACGCAGATAAGACTGGCTTCCCGTTCGCGAATGTGGCGTTGGTCTTAAGCGGCAGCGCTACAGCGACCGAACTGCACGCCCGCACGCAGATGGAAACTAGCGGCCCAGGTTGAATGAAAACTTACCTTAGTGCAGTTCAGCAGCAAGACAGGAGCCCTCCAAAACACAGGGTGTGTGTTTTGCCAGATATCAGGACGTAAAGGCTGTACGGCGCGCAAGACGAACTCGACGGATTTGGACATGCCATAGTTGGGTGGCGCTGCCGTTCTGATTCTCGCTTCGTCCCCAAGGTTTCTGCGAGATGAATTTGACTGACTGGCGGGCCTGGGAGGCAGAAAGGCTAAAGACATCACCAAGGCAAGCCAGCGCGGATCGCGATGCCGACATGTCGGGAGAATGGCGGATAGCGCGCCGTGTGTTGGTGGGAAACGTTGCTCGTGCATTTGTTTCAAGATCTACAAAGGGAAACAATGAGCATAAGTGGAGAGTGCTTTACGGCATGGATCTGGGCGGCAGATATCTTTGAATGGGCGGGATGCGGTCAGTACAAGGGCGGTGTGTGCTCGGGGATCTATCCTTGTTCCTTTGCGAAGAAGATGGCATAGCATAGATTAAGTAGAAGCGGGGAAGACGAGGGTTGGATGATAAGGAAGAGGCCTGTGCAGGGCTGGTAGCTCAGAGCGGCGCGAAACCCTACTCCAGCCGTCCTAGAAGCGACGTGTGTGGCGTTGTGCGGGCGCGCCCTGCGCTAACGGCGCAACCGGGTTGGGCGCAGACCGGGATGTCTCTGTCTCGGAATGCACGCTGCAGGGCAGAAGCGTTTTGGAAGGCTCTGCGTGCACGCTGCAGACTGCGTTGCAGGGAGGCATCATGACCGGAGGCCGAAACGGATCAACGTCTGTTGAGTCTGTGATTACGACTGCGCCGCGCTGTGCTGGCACAGTTGGGATGTTGGGATATCTAACGGCGAAGGCCGACGTGTACTTGCAGATGGGACCTGTACCGAGGGCTGCTCTGGGATTCTGGGATTAGCGACCGCAAGTGCTTCAACTGTGCTACCAGTACATAGCTGCTGCCTCTCGCATGGTCGGGGCGCAAAAAGAAAAAAAAAGTCGTGCGCGTATGATCTCGGAAGTAAAATTCTACAAGGAAATAAACGGAAGTCAACAGTGTCCAGCGTCCGCAACGCTGTGGCCACTGGCGCGGCTGGGGCTGGCCGCGATGACTAGTAGAGGGCACCGTGCGTCAGATGCACCTCTCAACATCCCACTTTCTACTTTCTCCCCGCGGTCACCTGTGACGCGAACGACGACACTGTCGAGAGGCGATCTGCAGAGGCGCTGAGAGGTGCCTCGAGGCGTCGTGTATCAGATCTGTATCTGGGTGCTACCGCCTCCTCCGCGTGGTTGTATTCCCAGGTGCAATATTATACAGCACCCCTGGTATCTCCCGAATCTACGATAACCCGTTGCTGGAGAGTATATCATCTCCGTCGCCCGTATTCCGTCACGCCTTCTCCTGTCCCCGCACTCTCCTATACCTGGCTCCTCCCGCCCCCCTGGTCCCACCGCACACGACCAACACCCGAAACCTGTTCAATGCCATGCCAGCCCGCGGTCGCAATACCGATGTCTCACCCATCACGCTAGACGCGGCCGTATACGCCCACGAACTCGAGGCCCAGCTCTCTCTACACTTTCTCGCCCCATCTAATCCGGCTAATAAGTTCCCGCCGTGCAGCCACCCCGCGATGCCGCCCGTTCCACAGCACCCATCACGCTCTCCCAGTCCGATGCACAACGTGGACTCGGCACAGGCTGTGTATCCCATTCCTGCCCATCATGTGGCCTCTTCCTCACGTCTCGAACCCTGTCCGCCATTTAGGTGAGTCTCGCGTGCCGTCCGTTTACGTCCGAGAGAAATGACGAGACACCCGCAGTTGCTCACAGTCCTCAACGTCCTCGACGAGTTCTGACA